TCCAAACCCAAAAATATTTTATCTCTTAGTTCTGTGGAGTGTCCCTCTGATCCTACTTGTTTTTCTCAAGCTAACAAAAGTTTAAAATGGTGGGCGGCTATGGCTGAAGAATTCAATGCTCTCATTGCTAATAAGACTTGGGATTTAGTACCTAGTGATCATACAAAAAATGTGGTTGTATGTAAATGGATTTATAAAACAAAATATACTTCTGATGGGTCCATTGAGCGTCACAAAGCTCGTTTAGTAGCTCAAGGTTTTAATCAGCAGGCCGGAGTGGATTTTTCTGAAACCTTTAGTCCTGTTGTCAAACCCACTACCGTGCGTCTATTACTTTCTCTTGCGACTACTTTCGGTTGGGGGGTGCGTCAGTTAGATGTCAAGAATTCCTTTTTACATGGTTATTTGACTAAGGAGGTCTATATGCGTCAGCCTCATGGATTTGTTCATCCCTCTTTTCCCCATCACATTTGTAGACTCCGTAAGGCACTGTATGGACTCAAACAAGCCCCTCGTGCCTGGTTTCATCGATTTAGTGGTTTTCTCCTCAGTCATGGTTTCGTGCAGAGTCGGTCTGATTCTTCTATGTTTATTTATCGCCGCAGCTCACATCGCATTTTTATTCTTTTGTATGTTGATGATATTCTGATCACCGGGAATTCACCTTCCCTCATTTAGTCTTGTATTCACCTTCTTTCTCAGACTTTTGCCATGAAAGATCTGGGAGATATTCATTTTTTTCTAGGGATTCAGACTGTGCGTACTCCTACATGTATTTTTCTCTCCCAACAAAAGTATATATCTGATCTCCTGCGGCGATTTCATCTTCACACTGTTACACCAGTCCGTACACCCCTACCCTCTCGTACTACTTTGTCTCTCACCGATGGAGAATTACTAGCCGATGGTACGAATATCGCAGTATGGTTGGCGCTTTACAGTACTTGATGATTACTAGACCGGATATTACCTATGCTGTTCACTTGGTCGATCAGTTTATGCATGCCCCTTGTACTACTCACCTTTTGGCTGTGAAGCGTATTTACAGGTATTTGCAGGGCACTATTACCGAGGGGTTATGGTTACGCAAGGGAGGTGACCCCTCGCTTGTTGTTGCTCTAATGCAGACTGGGCCGGTTGTCCTAATAGCTGTCGGTCCACCACTGGATACGCTATATTCTTGGGTGATAACTTAATTTCTTGACGTTCCAAAAAGCAGCCCACTGTTTCCAAATCTTCCACCGAGGCAGAATATCGAGCTGTGGCTTATACTGTTCAGGATACTTTGTTTATTCGTTCTCTTCTTGTGGACATGAGCTACTTTATCTCCAAACCTGTTCGACTTTACTGTGATAATGTTTCAGCATCTTATCTTGCGGTTAATCCCATTCAGCATGATCGAAGCAAGCACATAAAGATTGATTACCATTTTGTTCGTGAGCGTGTTGCTCAGGGTGATTTAGTTGTTAAATATATTCCTACACAGTTTCAGTTAGCTGATATATTTACTAAAAACTTGTCTAGTCAGCGTTTTAATTTTCTCAAGTCCAATCTGTGGGTGGTTCCTGCTGCACAGATTGAGGGGGTGTAATAGATATACTGTAGGGATACTGTTGTAATTACTGATTCTTGGATTATTATATATATACACATACGGCTACCGCTAGGGGGAGCCATTCCGTCATAATATTTCATAAAAAATCTATAGAATCGTTTATATGCCAGGTATTCGATTCGGTACCACTACGGTTCGGTTCGATTCAGGTTTTATGCCCACCCCTAATTGCATTTTTAGATTAATTGCTTGTATACAAAAGGTGTACAACTGTACATCAATTTTCCATCTATGCACTGCCCTTCACCATGCTAATCTTGAGTCTTGACTATGGACCTATGGTGGGTCAGGTTCCGGAATTTGGATTTGTCAGTTTAGGAGATATGGACCCCCAAATGTTAACTATAGATGGAATAGTAGGTAGGTCCAGACGTCCAGTGGGCCGGTCTGATTATACAACCCGTTTGTGGTCGGTTAATTATTAGGCATTGTTTTTCATTAAAAAAAGAGTAAACTACACTTAAAAGAATTTCTTTGGCCTTAGCGTTTTTATTTGTTTAAATGTGGTTTAAGTAAAATTATTTCGAATGAAAATGAACTACATGTATGATAAACATACCACATGTAATTTATAATAGGAATAAGATAATACGTAGTATTTATTTACAGATATTATTTACACTGAAAATAAACCTATTTACTCCCTCCGTCCCAATTTGATTTGCAAAATTTCCTATTTTGGTTGTCCCAAAATGGTTTTCCACTTTCTATTTTAGATATGTAAATAAGAATAAAGTGACAAATTTACCCTTACTTTTACTTTTTCCTCATTAACTTAAAGACATCTACTTTTAGAAAGATGTGCAAAAGTGTAAAAAGCAAGCATCATTTATTGTCATTCCTTAATCCGTGTACCGGTCAAAGTTTGCAATTCAATTCGGGACGGAAGGAGTACAATTTTATATCCCAAACTAACGGTTTGTATAAACAGATGGAAGGCACTGGTGTCTATACAACCTTCACTACACTCCTTATCTAATTACCACAGTATATAAACCACCATTTATTAGGCTCAGGTTGAATGTGCCAAATTTCTTTTTGCAATAAGGCTATGTTTGGTATGTTGTAATGCAATGCAATGGAATAGATTACGTAATGTAATAAAGAGTGTAATGTAATGGAATGAAGTCAATATTCCATTACTATGTTTGGTTAGCAGCGGCAGAACACGCGGGAAGAAGGAAAAGTGCAGATTTGAAAGGGAAAAATTCATCTTGCGAGAGAGGAAGTAGTTGGTTGTACACAAAAAAAATACAAGAAAGTATAATCACAAATATATATATAACTTTTCTAATGTAATGCTAAAGTAATGGATTCCACATAAGTAATGCATATTACATTAAGGTTTATAATAAAATGACATACCAAACGTTGTATTTGAATCAACACGTAATACTCCTTACTTACATTACATGATTGATTTCATCATACCTCACATAATTTTTGAAATAGACTGAACTTTATTATTATTCATGCAAACAACACAATGAAATAACACATATAGCCGTCGAATAAAACAAATATGTTTAGAATTTTCATACTACGTATTAGTATAATTTAGGGATTTGGACAAATCTATATACTACGGGTATATGTTAAATCATAATAATAACACTAAAACATAAGATTTTGGCACGTTTATAAAATTACAAGGGATTTAATGCACATAGTTTTTAATTATATCGCAAGGAGATTTGAGGAATTAATCCCAGAAATATAAAATTTCATCAGTCTATGGTTGTTATTCTTGGACTAAACATTCAAGAATCGTGATAAGTTTGATAAGTTGCTAATTTGGCTTTGGTGACCGACTTGTAGTGACAAATTTCATACGAAGTATTTTATTTCATTTCATTTTTTCATTTATATCATGAACCTATGATTCTATTAATAATGCACACATTTATATCATATCAACTCGATCGGTCAAGACTCAAGAGTCAAGACGTCAAGTCTTATCTTTGAAGTTATCAAATTTGGTAAATTTGATAAATCAGGAAAGTATCGCTTCCGTCCCGTTAAGATTGTCCCATATCAAATTTGGTAAATTTTGTGTGTCTCTAAATCATTTTTATTTACTTTTACTTTATGAATTCAATATCAACCACATAAACTCACTTTTCTTAACAATCATGCCACCTCTTTCCGTTCCAATATTAGTAGGACGGAGGCAGTATCATTTAGATCAATTTTATAGGAAAATTGTACTTTTAATTGACTGAAATCTTTGGTGTAAAATCATAAAGTAGGTACATGTTCCTTAGCAACTATCGTTAACTATTCCAAAAATATACACATAAATGTATTAGAAACAATCTTTTAATACGTACATAGTATGTGCTTTATTCGGCTGATTTTGCTGAAATTAATGAATTGTGGTTGAAGTGGTGGAATTGGCTGAATTACATAAAAATTATTTATAAAATATATTTTAATGAGCTTCAAATTTGTCCAAATAACATCAAAAATACTTCAAATGGAAGAGTTTTAATTTACTTTCGGATGTAAGTACTTTATTAAATTATTCAAATGCATAACAGAAGTGATTAGAATTACTTTTGAATATCAAAATTGGTCAATAAAATCATTAATAAAACATTTATACCAAATCATCAAATAAAACTTAGTCACGTAGAAATATAGTTATTTCTACAGTACTACCTCCGTCCCAATTTACTTAGCCATCTTTGACTGGAAAAGTCAAAGATGGTAAACTTTTACCAATTATTTTAACTAATATTTTTATGCAGAATTTAATAATTTTATACTTTTATAATAGTATATTTAGCAAAAAACATTTTCATATCATTTTTATATTATCAATACTCTCTATCTAAAGATATAATCGGTCAAAGTGAGACGCCATTGACTTGAAAAGTCAAGTTTGGCTAACCAAAATGGGACGGAGGGAGTATGTATTATTATCTAATCTTGGGAGAACTATCAAATAAGCCCTCGAACTTTCATAAAAAGTGCAAATAAGCCTCTTTACAGGAGGCTTTGTCCGGCTGTCGCCATTTGGGAAGGTTTTCGGTGGAAGTTTTTGATGAAAGTTTTTGAGCATCTTCTTCATTAAGTCTAGTTTATCCATACCAAATTTCAACTAAAAATTCAATCGAGAAGACAGTCAAATGATTTCCCGATTGAATGTTTAGCTGAAATTTGGTAGGAATAAACTAGACTCAATGAAGAAGATATTAAAAAAATTTCATCAAAAAATGCCACCGTAAACCGCCCCAAATGGCGACGGCCGGACAGAACCTCCTATAAAAGGACTTATTTGCACTTTTTATGAAAGTTTGAGAGCTTATTTGATAGTTCTCCCTCTAATCTTCTAGCAATACCCTATATTAATATATCTAGATATCTTCATTTGTAATATATTCAGAACTCCATTTGTACTCTCTCTATATATACATAAGTAGTTGCTTTCTGAGTGTAGAAGAGTAAAAGAGGGTGGAGCATAGAATTGAAGATGGGTTTGCTGTTTGTGGTTGTTGCCTTGAGTGTGCTCGTAAAACCCATGGCTTCGGCAGAAGTAGCGTTCAGTTATTCGGGCTCAACCGGGCCAGACCAATGGGCAAGTTTAAGTCCGGATTATGCTCTATGCTCTACCGGTAAATCACAGTCTCCAGTCAATCTTTTTGGCAGACTCACACCGGTTAGCCCAAACCTGAAGGCATTGGATATCCAATTCAACGATTCAGTGAATGCCACTTTAGTTAACAAGGGCTACCATGTTGAGGTTTGTTTCATTGTTTAATTTGTTCTCATTCGATTTAGAATCAATTATTTTGGAATGAAACACTCCCTCAGTTTTCAAACAAACTCACTTTCTTTTTACGTTTTAAAAGATAGTTAAGTTTAATTTCGACTTTACCATTATATAATTATTATATCATACAAAAAATAGATTAGGTATAATGGAAATATGAAAGGGTAAGGTATATAAATACAGTAAGAGTTGGGTATATAAAGCTAATTTATAATACAAGTAGTAACTTATCAAAAATGGACCGGTAGGCGTAGCTAACTGGTAGCAAGGGAGTGACACAAATGTTAGGTCCCGGGTTCGAATCCCGTCAACTGCGATGAGGGGTTACTATGCTAAAAATGTATAGGGCCTCTGCAAGTACCGGGAACAAAACCTCACTCTCTATCTGTCAGATTTGGATTATAGTCCAATTTACATCCTCCCAACGTACCGTCCGGTCGGGGTTGGGGGGCCCTCAGGGGGGTGTCATCCTTTTTTTATATATATAATGGAAACAAGAACCCTAATTTAGGACTTCTGAAAAAAGGAAAGTAAGAGCTTTTTTAGAACTAGAGGGAGTATAAGCTGACTTATTTAATGTGTGCAGCTAAGTTACAATGGAGGAGGAGGTGGAGTTTTGGTGCTTAATGGTACAAATTACACCTTGAATGAAATGCATTGGCATGTCCCTTCTGAACACCAATTCTTCAGAATTCCGTACGTGCTATTAATTTAAAGTTATGAAAAACCGACACCAATACTCATTTTTTGTTGCCCGTTTTCTTTTTTTCCTTTGCTTGTGAAAACTTTTTGTATGTAGTTTTATAACTGAAGAAACCTATACCAAGTTATTTATAATTTTGCATTTATTTACATCATATACTACATAGAAATTAACTCAATGATAAAACACAGACACGGTGCCCCACAAGAAAAACATTAATCATGGGTTTGAAATAGTCACCATATTGAAATGTCAGACTCGTATTCCCGGATTTGTAAATGTCGCCCCTCAATTGTCCAAATTGCTGTAAATGTGGTCCTTTGAGGGTGAAATGTACACTGTGGACGAGGAGTACATTTCACCCCTTAAAGGACCACATTTACAACAATTTGGACAATTGAGGGGTGACAATTACAACCTCCGAAATACGGGTTTGACATTTCAATATGGTGACTATTTCAGGGACAAAATATGTGATTTTCCCTTTCGTTTATAAACAAATAAACAAATGAGAATATAATAAGTATTTGATACTTTTACTTGATTCATTTTCTTATAATAGGCTGTGGACTTAAAAAGTTAAAACTAATACTATCAACCGAAACAAGGGAAAAATAATAAAAATACCCCAAACTTTGAAGGGATGTGAGATAAATACCCCAAACTTGTATATGTAATTTAAATACCCAAACTTTATTTAAAAAATATTTTTGCACCATTATCATGTATTATTTCTTTCAAAAATGTAATTTTTTTGAGTTAATTGCACCTTTAAAATGTCACCATAGTCCAATTTAGAATAATAAATTAAAAGTGTTGCAATTATATAGATTTGGGATCACATTATTTATTTCGCAATAAATTTTGAATGTTAATTGTGTCTTCATGAATTCTTAAATATATCAAATTATGTAATTAAAAGTGTTGCAATTATGGTACTAAAATATCTTTTTATATAATGTTTGGGGTATTTAAATTATGTACGCAAGTTTGGGGTGTTCATCCCACACCTTTTCAAAGTTTGAGCTATTTTATTTATTTTGTTGTACTACTTATCTTGTTTTGTGATTCTCGTTATACGTCCTCAGTTCGATCTTTAGGCAAAAAGAGAATGTTTTTACTATTTTTTTACATCTCTAAGTATATAGAATTAGGTAAATTGCATGGTATGCTTAAAATACTAGTTGTATCTTGACTGCGTTAACCAATTAAAATCACAATAAAATAATTTAAATATTAACAAATAATAAGATAATGATTTGGGTTAAATAAATGTATTGTAGGTATGTTTCTCCATTTATTTGTGAGTACCTAAAAGAATTTTGCAGAGGCGTATATATAATTTTGTAGTGAATGACGGCAGGTTTGCTGGTGAGGTTCACCTAGGTTACTCTTCTCCCAATAATACCGCTGCTCTGGTGGCAATTATGTTGCGGTTAGGCCGAAGTGATCCCATTCTTGACAAGGTAAATGTAAATTAGCTATTGGATTATGTAGAACCCTTTTGGTGGTCATGGTTTTTGGCTAATTAAACATATCAGCCTACTTTTTCATTAAACACGTAACTTTTAATTTTACGTGCAGAATTGTATAATAATCAGAATAAATAATTACAGATGATCATTTTAGTTGTTTTTACATACCCTAGTATATTTTTTTATTGAAAAGGGGGCAAATAAGCCCACGTACTAACAAAAAAAGTTAAATAAACGCTTATATAATAGGCTATGTCCGGTCGTCGTCATTTGGGGTGGTTCCCGGTGGAAATTTTTGATGTTTTTTTTGAGAATATTATTCATTAAATCTAGTTTACTCATACGAGATTTCAGCTGAAACTTCAATCGGGAAGGCATTCAAATGAATTCTTGAAGATAACTGCGCAGTTAAAAGCGCAGTTATCTTCAAGAATTTATTTGAATGCCTTCACAATTGAATTGTTAGCTGAAATTTGATATGAGTAAACTAGACTTAATGAATAAGATTCTAAAAAAAATCATCAAAAAATTCCACCAAGAATTGCCCCAAATGGCGACGGCCGGACAGAGCCTTCTATATAAGGGTTAATTTGACCCTTTTTGGTTAGTACGTGGGCTTATTTGCCCCTTTTTCCTTTTTTCTTAATGAAATATATTTTAAATATAATTTTTTCGTAAATCAACCGATCCAACCACTTCAGCCAGAATTTCATAAATTGCTGTAGAATCAGTTGATTTCATTGTTACCAAACATGCTCGTAATTAGCTAGAGACAGTTGAAGTATTTCCAACACAGATAAAAATACGTAATATGAATTAGGGAAAAACACGGAAATTGTACTTGTGGTTGGGCCCATTTTCAGATACGGTCATGTGTTTCATTTTTTTTATCAAAGTGGTTCATGTGTTTGAATTCCGTTATCACAAGAGGGTCGTCACACAGTTAAAAATGCCCGATAAAGACGGTTAATAGGAACTCCGATTTCAAAAGTGTCTGAAAAATTAAAAGAGAAATACCGGGAGGTGCGCCTCAAAAAGCTAAGACGACCGCTAGACCATCTTTCTTTTTTGTTTCCAGCCAGACAACCACCTTTCTCACCAGAAAGTCCACCGGAAAAGTAACATTAGCAAAGTAATTTTTTAAAAATAATTCAAACAGATCCAAAAAATCCAAGGGAGGTGGTGGTTTGGATGTCATGTTGACGAGGCGCACCTTCCAAACCTTTTCTTTTAAATTTCCTGGCACTTTTAGTCTTTTAGTTTGAAAATTGGAGTACTATTAATCGTCTTTCTCAAGCGTTTTTAGTGGCGTGACCCTCTGGTGATAACGGAATTCAAACACATACATGAACCACTTTGATAAAAATGAAATACATGGTCTGATGGTCCTATATGAAAACAGGCTCAACCACAAGTATCTTTTCCGATCCGTAGTAGTGTAGTAAAGTGTTATTCTAAAAATTGAAACTTCTTCTCTTATGGATTGTAGATCTTTTAGAGTGGAATCTCAAACTTAAATATGATATCATAGTCAAACCGATCCATAATCGTGATTCGTGATGTGAGCTCCTACAATAATGACATTAATAAAGTGCTCTATTATAAAGTGATATGTTAATAGAATGAGGCATAATACTCCGTATGAAGTGACAAAATGTTATACTAAGATTATGGACTATTTCTCCGGGGAGAGATCACATCAATATATAGTTATTAGTCAGTATGATTAAGTTTAAGTATACATACATATAGTAGTGATCATCCACTATTCACAATAACTTTAATTACATTTTTCTTCATAAGTTTTTTTTACCAAATCTCCTTAAATAATGCAGCTTGAACATGAATTGAGTGGGCTGCCCATGAGATCCGCTGGTGAAAGTCCACCTGAAGTTGCTGTGGGAAATACTACCGATATTCAAATTTTATTAAGAGAGTTTACCAACACAGATAGGTATTACACTTACCAAGGTTCTTCGACCACGCCCCCGTGCTCAGAAGGTGTTACAGACATAGTCATAGGAGAGGTACGTAAGCAAGTCCGATCTGGAGAACCTTTTCTCAAATGATCAAATAATAATCTATGTTTATTTTATTGGGAAATATGAAGAATAAAAAAAACAAAACATAAAGCTTATGGACAAATTTGAATTACTCGATCACTAGAGTAATATATGGACCTGACTTTCATTCTAACATATGAATTTAGTTGGAGAAAATTATAAATATAGTCTCGTAACACGTCTCGTAACTTTATGCATTTGCAAATTTAGAGTGTTTGGCAATACTGAAATCAAATGAATCCGTTCAAATTTATGAAATTTTGATTAAACGGCCGAATTTGATGAATTATGAAAAAAATATACTTCGTATTTAGAATATATTTTAAAAATAAATCAAAGAAAAAATATGAAAATAGCTAAAATGGTTCTATACAATACTTCATCCAACTTGACCATAAAAGTATCTTTGGCGTTACTTTTTATGATTATTACACAATTCAGCGCGTGAAATTAAAAGTTACGTATTTGATAAAAAAAGTGACTGACAAGTTGAAAACAAAAATTGTCAAACGTTCTCTTAGTCCCATATCTAATAATTTGTTCATAAAAGGGCTATTGTGGCAGAAAAATTGACGCCAATTATGGATTATACGTATCAAATGATGAATTATATGTAGTACTAGTATATTTTTTTCTTTTGAAAATGTACATTCCAATAAAAAGTTCTGAATATGAATATGTTAGTAATTATTGGAGTAAATCTGTAAGTGAGTAAAATTAATGGACTAAAGATGATTACAGTCAGAAGTTATGCAAACAAAACCTTAAATCTCCCAACTTAATTAATTGTAGTTATTATAATATCTCTACCATCTACGCAAACTATCAAGCACGATTAATGTTGGATGTGTTTCGAAAAACAAAGAATATAATTAATAAAAAATTAATTAAATAAAATGACTAAAGAAAACATATATAGATGAAGCATAATTTAGCGTTGCAACGACCATTTCCCAGGATACAGTGGCTAACGAACGATCCTTTGAGCACACAAAGAAAGGTTCTGGCGAACGGAAACCAAGCTATAGAACACTTAAGAAATTTTTGGGAAAGCTGGAGGTCATGTTTTAGAGCTCGGAAATACGTGCTAACTGTGTATGATTGCATGTGTGGTTGCAAAGCACCTGTTAGCTATTTATAGTAGGATTTGTGGTGTGTTAACCGAGCTTTATCGGACCTGAACGTTGCACATAAATGTCCAGCATGTTGGACATTAATATGTTGAAAAACTGTCATTTAAAGAAGGGTTTGTGTCCGAGCACTTCTTCTCGGTTTTTCTTCTCCATTTTCGGAATTTGATCGACACCCCCTGCGCGCGAAGAGAGCCTTTCCCCATAGAAATCTTAACTCCTTCAAACAGGGTTCCATTAATAAGGGGGTGAAAATCCTTTGGGTTTTCCGGTGTGGGATAAATCCCACTAGAAACCCATCATTTTCCCAGTTTTTTCATTTTAACGAGTGAACTTCGAGAATCAATTTCTCATTCACCCGTTATCCGTTTTGAGTGTACCATATATCGAATTGTAGCCCTTAGCAATGACAATCTGAAACCACTTTGACCCGACCCAAATCGAAAGTGGACCCCACCCAAAATATTATCCCAAATTGACCATTTAATTCAATTTTTAACACATTTTTCCAACAAATCTATAAGGAATGTACGAAGCATATAGTTTTTTGTTTTTTGTTTTTGAACGGATGGACTAATGAGTACATATATTTCCAGTTTCGCACAATTTCAATCGATCAAGTTGAAGCTCTAAAACGTCCCTTGGACAATGGAAGCAAGAATAATGCACGGCCAGTGCAACCCCTGAATGGACGAAAAGTAGAGGCTTACCAAGCTCAATGAATTGGAGCTAGTGGATGGTTCCTTTTTTAAACTTTGAAGTTTGATTAATTATATAAATTATTATGAAAGTTTGCTTCAAAATAGCTTGGGAAACCTTCCGATGATCCGATCCAAAGAAAAATATATTTCAATCTAACTATTGTTATTGAATTGTTGTTGTTGTTGTTGTTATTATTAGTAGCTCACCCGTGCGATGCACGGACATACAAATTCCTTACAAACTATTCAATGAAATGACAATATGCAACAAAAAGTTTTTTATTTATTTCATTTCAAGGATAACAACTAAATAGTACTACTTAGAAACAATTACTAATAACAAAAATTCAACATGTTTTATGTTGTACTTTCGGTGTGAGCTCATGATTGGTCTATGTTTCAACATGTTTTATGTTCTACTCTTGGTATTACCATTACATAATCCCATTGAATGATCTATGTTTTGCATAAGCGCCACAAGGGTACCTACTTTTAGTATGAACCCGTGATTGGATAGACCTGAAAGACAAATTTTATTCATAAATTCTAAAGTATGCTAATACGCATGTAAATAAACATTAAAATCTGACTTGCATATAGTGCCTAAACACAACTAAATTTTACATTTGGAATTTATTAAGAGAAATCATTTTGGTGCTTAAACTCTATTTTCTTAAAACTAGCTAAAATCTTCAAGCACATTCAAATATTGTGGATAAGCACCTCTCAACAATAATTGCAATTGGATCTCCTAAGTTGGTAGAGGAAGATTTGTAGTAATTTCGATTGAAACCTATATTTATATACAATATTTATTTATTTTAATCTCATAAAATTAAATTAATTAATCATTCCAGGCCAACTCAAAATTATACACTCCAATATAGTAGTATATAAGGCTAACCGCAACCTTCACCATCAATAAATCAAATTTCCATCCAGTTTATAAATATTCACCCAGTCAATTCAATTTTTATGCAATTCAGCATTGTCAGTATATTCATAGAATATTTTTTTAATTATAGCCTTACTTGTATGGTTTATACATTACTTTTTCCATTTTTGTCATCAACTATGATTTAAAAAGTCAAATTCACCTATAAAAATAAATACATTTGGAGTTTAATCGTTTTTTGTTACTCCAGACTTAACTATGATTAATATACTTTCTCCATTATTAGTTAAGTACAACGGTCAATTTTTCACAATTGTGGTTGCGCAACTTTGACCATTAATATATACAATTCTCCATCAGCACAACAACATTCAAGCTTTAGTCCCAAAAGATATTGGGGTCAGCTAACATGAATCGATACATGATATCACCACCAAAAGGAAAAAAAGAAAATAAAGATAAAAAAGATAAGCTATTACAAAAAGATACTACATCTGTTCCGTTGGAAGGTTCCCATAGCAAATCGGCATGATTATTTAGACAATTCTCTATTAGTAAATAAATTAAATAATCAGTGATGGATAGTGTACCCGGGGGGTAGCTTATCCGAGGGGTTATTGCGGAGAATAACTAGAGAGAAGTCAGAGCAAACAAGTAAGAGAGAGAGTCTATATTCGATATGTATTAAGCGTGGTTTACAATGGGGAAAGGGGTGCTATTTATAGCAGTAATAAATGCTAGATAAGGACACGTGTCAGTTTTCTGGTGGTCGAGGGGTCACCTCAACCGGGGTGGCACTGGCACTCGCATGTGGCCGCATTAAATGCGGTGGTTGGAGGTGACGTTTGTACTTGGTACGGTGATCCAGGCGCATGTGAAGAGGATATTCTGTCGAGGTGGATGCCTTCGGCTGAAGGGTGCTGGGCCGAAGGCTCTTCTAACCGAGGGCTCCTACCGGCCGAGGGCTGCAGGTGCCGAAGGCTTGGTTTTCAAGCCTTGTTCTCCTGTGATGTTTCTGAGCTCGATTCCGTCACTGGTAGCCTTCGGCCATGGGGCCGAAGGCACCCCTTTGCGTATTGTGGGCTGCTTAGAGCTCAATTTTTCTGGGCTTGGCCCGTTTGGGCCTGTTCGGCCTGATTGTAGTAGAGGAAGTATGTGGGCCGGGGGTCCCTGGGCCATATACTCCATCAGGAGTCCCCCACTCCTTTTGCCGAAAGGTACTTGAGGGAAAAGGAGTAGCTGTGGTGATTTCCCCGAAGGCTTCCCTGTTCTGTTGGGTGCCTCATTTTCTCAATTCCCCCATATGTCGAGGGCTGAGAGCTTCCTGAAGGGAGTGTAAGTGTGTTGCTCGTATGTGTTTCTTTGTTGTAGTTTGTAAAGTAAAGAGAGATCTGCATTTGTGTGCTTTGCCGAGGGCATTTGTTGACTGAAGGCTTTGTGTGGCCGAAGGCATCATGTGGCCGGAGGCATCATGTGGCCGAAGGCATCATGTGACCGAAGGCATCATGTGGCTGCAGGCATTGTGTGGCCGGAGGCATTCTGTAAGCCGAAAGCATCATGTCGAGGGGAGTAGATTGCCGTTGTGATCTTGCCTCAGCTTGCTGTAGCTGAGAAATAGAAAATTTTTAACATTTGCGTGTTTTTCCGAGGCGAGTCCCCCAGTCCCCCACTCCTTTTGCCGAGAGTTTCTCGAGGGAAACAGGAGTAGAGTGATGCATGCCTTCAGCAGGAGCCGCCGGGGGGTGATGCCTTTTGTTCCACAATGGGGAGATGCCTCGTTAAAAAACCTCATTAGGAAAAAACCCTGTGGGAAAAAAAATCCTAATGAGGGAAAAAGAGTACACCGGATGCCCCCAGAATGAAGCAAAAGGAATGCACCCTTCGGCCTAGATTTTTGAGCGGTGGTTGTGTCCGTCTGCTGAGGGGATATCGAAGACCAGCCTTAGATCCTGCATGAAAAAGCTGAGGAGCTTGTAAGGACCCCCCGTTATCAAATAAAGGTGACGGAGGGGTGCAAGGCCAGGTGGGCCTGTGTGAGAGCCCCTGGCATCAAATACAGATGCCGGAGGGATGGAGACCGAGGGGCCTGTGTGATTGCCCCCGACATCAAATAAATATGCCGGAGGGGTGAAGACCGAGGGCCTGTATGATAGCCCATGGCATCAAATAAAGATGTCGAAGGGATGAAAGCTAGGCTGAGGGGCCTGTATGACAGCCCCTGGCATCAAATAAAGATGCCAGAGGGATGAAGGCCGAGGGACCTGTGTGATTGCCCCCGACATCAAATAAAGATGTCGGAGGGATGAAGGCCGATGGGCCTGTATGATAGCCTCTGGCATCAAATAAAGATGCCGGAGGGATGAAGGCCGAGGTACCTGTGTGATTGCCCCCGACATCAAATAAAGATGCCGGAGGGATGAAGGCCGATGGGCTTGTATGATAGCCCCCGGCATCAAATAAAGATGTCGGAGGGATGAAGGCCGAGGGACCTGTGTGATTGCCCCCGACATCAAATAAAGATGTCGGAGGGATGAAGGCCGATGGGCCTGTATGATAGCCCCCGACATCAAATAAAGATATCGGAGGGATGAAGGCCGAGGGCCGTTGTGATGTGGAATCATGCTGAGGCCGAGGGCCGTTGGTGATGTGAGATCACGCTAAGGCCAAAACCATTATGACATAGGGTCATGTTGAGGCCGAGGGCCGTCTGATGTTGAGGCTGAGGGCCATTGTGTTGTCCTCACGCTGAGGCCGAGGGCCGTTGTTGATGTTGAGGCCGAGGGCCGTTCTGATGTTGAGGCCGAGGGCCGTTGTGATGTGGAATCACGCTGAGGCCGAGGGCCGTTGGTGAGGTGAGATCACGTTAAGGCCAAAACCGTTATGACATAGAGTCATGTTGAGGCCGAGGGCTGTCTGATGTTGAGGCCGAGGGCCATTGTGATGTTGAGGCCGAGGGCCGTTGTGATGTGGAATCACGCTGAAGCCGAGGGCCGTTGTTGATGTTGAGGCCGAGGGCCGTCTGATGTTGAGGCCGAGGGCCATTGTGATGTGGAATCATGCTGAGGCCGAGGGCCGTTCGTGATGTTGAGGCCGAGGGTCGTCCTGATGTTGAGGCGGAGGGCCGTTGTGATGTGGGATCACGCTGAGGCCGAGGGCCGTTGGTGATGTGAGATCACGCTAAGGCCAAAACCGTTATGACATAGAGTCATGTTGAGGCCGAGGGCCGTCTGATGTTGAGGCCGAGGGCCTTTGTGATGTTGAGGCCGAGGGCCATTGTTGATGTTGAGGCCGAGGGCCGTCTGATGTTGAGGCCGAGGGCCATTGTGATGTTGAGGCCGAGGGCCGTTGTGATGTGGGATCACGCTGAGGCTGAGGGCCGTTGGTGACGTGGAATCATGCCAAGGCCGAGGGCCATTGGTGACGTGGAATCGAATTGAGGGCGAGGGCCTTTCCTTGATAGTTCCAGGAGTCCTCTGGGTGTATGTTCCTTCTTTCAGGCATCGACCGAGGGGTTGATTCCCCGCCTCGGCCGAAAGGAGGTCAAAGTGATCCGTCCGGGGGTTCGTCTGTTAGTCCCCCGGCGCTGGGCCGTCCCTTGATTGTGCCAGGAGGTCGTATGTTAGTCCTCCTGATGTGTGTTCCTTCTTCTAGGCTTCGGCCGAGGGGGTTGCTTCCCCGCCTCGGCCGAAGGGGGTCCAAGTGATCCGTCCGGGGGTTCGTCTGTTAGTCCCCCGGCGCTGGGCCGTCCCTTGATTGTTCCAGGAGGTCGTATGTTAGTCCTCCTGATGTGTGTTCCTTCTTTCAGGCTTCGGCCGAGGGGGTTGCTTCCCCGCCTCGGCCGGAAGGGGGTCCAAGTGATCCGTCCGGGGGTTCGTTTGTTAGTCCCCCGGCGTTGAACCGTCCCTTGACCTTGGGGGGTCCCGTCGTCTATTTACGGCGCGGGCTAGGCTTGGTCGGTTTTCGACGACTGCCGTTTCACCCCCAAGTTTGGGGATTTCGTCACCTCAGCCATTCTTTCAGGTCTGTCGCCGTGCGTTGCGCGCCGGCGACGCGGCGAGCGTCCCGCTCCAAAAACGCGGGCCTTTTGCAGGCCCCTCATCTTTAGAAACCATCGGCCATACCTGGGCATTTGGCCTCGAAGGGGCCGATAAGATGTTTGGATTGTGTTGTAGTTTACTTAAATTCGTGGAAATAAGCGGAATACAAGGGGTGCGTTGTTTGACAACGGCTTTGTTAAGATTCACCGCTCAAGGCCGAGGGCTCTAGGCCGAGGGGATGGTAATGTGCCTCGAGGTCGAGGGCCCAAGGCTGAGACTAACGCCGAAGGCGAGGAACATGATTAGCGGAGGTGGCGCTTCTTCGGCTGGGGCTCCTCGAACTCCTCACCGTCGCTGAGCCTGCCGATTTCATGTTTCTTTGTTGTGATGTCCCCT